TTTTTTTTTTTTTTTTTTCTTGGCAGCTGGCCTGTACAGGGATCAAACCCTGGACCTTGATGCTATCAGCAGTGTACTCTAACCTACTGAGCTAACTGGCCAGCCCCTGCATTTTGCAAGTTTTAATAGAGCTTCTGTGGTATACATCGCCACACCCACATGCACACACCCACCCACACCCACACACACAAATTAAAAGACAAAACAGGAATTTTCTAAGTCTTAAGTTGAGGCTAGGTCTCTAGGTTTCAGGTAAAACTGATGGAAAATTAGAACAGGTAAATTGGTTCTGCATATTACAAACTGTCTTGGGAGGCTTTTTTCAGAACTTTGAAATATGAGAAACCTGGGAGTGATGGGTCTGTGATCACTGCTATGTAAAGCACAGAACAGGCTCCCTAGAAACAGTTGCTCAGGAAGTAAATAAGTTACAGAAAACAGTAATTATTAGGTAATGGGTATTATTGTTGTTGTTGTTGTTGTTGTTATTTCACCAATGGCTCAAGTCTCCACCAATTCCAGTTTCTCTGATTTGGGGATAGGTCATTTGGAAGCAAGTCTCAGTTAACTTAGAGCTAACATTTAGAAGCCTTATAAATTTTTTCAATGATTGAGAAATCCTTATTTTTTTCCAACTAGCATTTTTAATAGAACATTATGAAAACTGAGAAACCATAAAAAGTAGACTCTGAAGATGGAAAAAATATTTTGGGCAAAACCAGAAGTAAAAAGACAGTTCAAAAACTGTTGTAGTTTTTTAGTAAAATGACTAGCAGAAGATTTTGTGTCAATACAGACTCCTGCTTCTAATAACCAGTATAAATCCATGTACATCTGTGTCACATCGTGGAATTTAGAGCAAATTAAGAAGATTCTGAACTCCTCTCAACTTTTTCACCAACTGCAAAAAAGCAACAAATCCCCCAAGAGCTTCTTTAGGAGAGGGTGTGTTTATGTACTGTTATATGTCAGGAAAGGGAAACCGGCACAGAAGAAGGATTCCAGATGAGATTTGGAACAGTGATCACCACGAACCATCAATTAGCCAGCCAGCTCCTTGGAAACTCAAACATGCTTTTCACGAAAGAGAGACTGCAAAAGAAAATTCAGGTGGGGCCGGCCCGGTGGCGCACTGGAGAGTGCGCTGCTTGGGAACGCAGCGGCGCTCCCGCCGAGGGTTCGGATCCCATGTGGAGACCAGTTCCCGCTCACTGGCTGAGCGCGGTGGCTGAGCGCGGTGCAGGCGCGACACCGAGGGTTGCGATCCCGTTACCGGTCAGTAAAAAAGACAAAAAGGAAAAAAAAAAAGAAAAGAAAAAAAGAAAATTCAGGTGAATAAACTACATCTTACTGAGTTTAAACATTTCAATTTGACTTTAATTGGTTTTAAAATACATTTCATATTAAATTATATCCACAGGATTACAGATCTATAAAATGCAGGAGTCATCCATAACAACTTCTGTGACAAAACTGCTTTCAATTTATAAACTGACATCTAGTCAACCTGATTGTCTGTGTCTGCAATCATATTTCTCCCACCTTTACTACCTCCCTGCGATGCTCCTGGGAGAATTCAAACTTGCATTTACCTCTGCTCAAAGAAGTTTTTTGAGTCTTGCTCAAGAAGGCTGAGACCATCGGAGATCTCTAAAGGTTCTTTTTGGTCATCAGTTCTGCTTTTGAGGCTCAATTCCTTTTCCTTCTTTTTCTCCATCTGCTTCTGTAACCTTTTGTGCTGCATCTCCTGCATCGCCTTGAACTGGAGCCGCAAAGTATCCTGTGAGCCTTCAGCTGCTGCCATCTTGCCCTAGGAGTCAGAAAAGCAGCCTGAGCTGAAGCAAACTCTACACAAAGCTTTCAGTACATAGTCAGCCCTGTCTACAGCCCCTAGTCCTGGAGTTTCCTGCTTAGATTTGTATGTGAGTCCATGCAGAAGCTTGGAAACCGCACCCTCACTTCAACTCACCTGAAAGCCAAAGCTGAGCTGACCGTCCTCCCCCAGCTCTGAACATGCCACCAGACTGCTCATGGCACCAGATACTCCCCATCACTCAGATTTAACACTCTACACTTCCCTGTCCCTTAAATCAGTGGCTCTTAACTCTCCCTGTACATTAGAATCCCCTAGGAACTCCTAAAATATAATAATGCTTGGGTCCATCTCCAGACCAATTAAATCCCAATTTCTAGGATTTGGGCTTGGACATCATTGCTTCTTTTTCTTTTTAAATTGAAGTATTATTTATGTATAGTAAAGTGCATAAATCCTAAGTGTACAGCACAGTGAATCTTTCCACAGATATACATGCCTGTGGTGATCACCCAGATCAAAGTATAGGGCATTTCCAATCCCTGGGCAGGCTATCTTGTACCTCCTCCTGTCAATCACCCTCCAAGGTAATCACTCTTCTGTTCTCTGCCACTGAAGATGAGATTTGTCTGTTTCTTCTTCTCCTTTTTATCTTTTTTTGGCAGCTGGTGGTACAGGGATCGAACCCTGGATCTTGGTGTTATCAGTTGTCTGTTTTCTTTTTAATCAGTTCTATTGAATTATAATTTATGTACAATAAAATATACCAAATTTATGTGTACAAGTAAGTTTTGACAAATACATACACCTGTGTAAACCACCAGTACCACCAAAAGAACATATCCATTACCCCCAAAAGCGCCTTTGTGCCTATTTGTAGCCAGTCTCTCTGTCAGTCCAAACTCTGGTCTGCTTTTGTTCACTACGATTTTGTCTTTTCTAGAATTCATTTAACTGGAATCATACAGTAGTTAGTCTATTGTGTCTGGCTTTTTTTGCTCAGCGTTACCTTTCTGAGATTCGTCCATATTATATGTATCACTAGCTCGTTACTTTTTATTGCTGAGTAGTATTACATTGCATAAACCACAATTTGCTTATACATTCACCTAGTATTGGACACCCGAAGTTGTTTCCAGTTCAGGCTATTATGAATAAAGCTGTTACAAACATTCAAATATAAGAAAGTATTTGTGTGAACATGTTTCTTTCTCTTGGGTAAATACCTAGAAGAGGTAATGCTGGGTTACATGGTAAATTTATGTTTAACTTCATAAGAAATGGCTAAACTGTTTTCCAGAATGGCTGTACCATTTTACATTCCTACCAGTAGAGTATGAGAGTCCCAGTTTTTCCACATCCTTGTCAACACTTAGTACAGCCAATCTAAATTTTAGTTGGTATGTAATGGTCTCTCAGTCGGATTTTAATTTGCATTTCTCTACTGACTAGTTATATTGAGCATCTTTGCACGTGCTTGCTGGCCATCTTTCAAAACATGTCTATTCACACTTTTTATCTGTTTTAAAATTGTGTTGTTTTGTCTTATGACTGAGTGGTCAGACCTCATGTGACAGGAGGTGCAGTTTCCCTGGGTTTGGGTTTCAGGCCACTGCGCTGGGTCTGAAACCACTCCCCTAGGACTCAAGTCCCTCCTCGGAATCCAGAGCTACTGTTGTTTATAGCAGCCATTTTCAGTACCAGCATGTGGAGATTGAGACCACAGGAGGCAGACTTGTGTAATCTCAGTGGCCACGCATGCTCAGTAAAAAGGAGTTTATCCCCTGAATGACCTCCCACTGGAGGAACTAGAGAGCACCTAGAATATTCTAAGTATATTCAGTGCATATGGTAGAGTTTGACCAATGAGCATGCTCTAAAGGAGACCAACTGAGCATACCCAAACATGAGCATATGCAAACGGTTCCATAACCTGTTACATGACAGTGAACAACCCCTTTAGTGGAATATTCATTAGATAGCATGAATATGTATAGATAGCCAAACTATAAAAGTAGAATCCAGGAAGAAGGCAGGGCTGTTGTTCATTCTCTCTGGAGCCAGCAAACACTTTAGCTGTGAGGTGTGTATTTCTTGCTGTTTTGTGTTAAACTTGCAAAGGCAAAGGCAAGCAGGCTGCTGTTCAGTCTGGAGCCAGCCTACACTTTGTAAAGTGTGTATTTCTTACCTTTGTATTAAACCTGGTACAGCTGCTCAGTCCCTGGAGCTAGGCTGCACTTTCCCTGTGAAGTCTGTATTTCTTATTCTTTACATTAAACCTGTTTTTGCTTTCTACTGCAACTCTGCTCTTGAATTCTTTCCTGTGGTGGAGTCAAGAACCTGGTAGAGGATGGGGTGGGTTGGGGTCAGCTATCCGACCTCCCCAGACCTTGTCCTCTGGTATCACTTAAACATTCTGGATGTTTTGTCTGTTTGAACTTTGCATAAACGGAACAATAGAGCACAGACATTTAGATTTTTAAATGCTCCTCACATGATTTAAAGTGTAGCCAGGGTTAAACATCTCTGCCTTAAACCAACCTCAAACCACATCATCTACCCATCATCCAATTAGTCATAAATCTTGTTGATCCTCCATAAATATCCTCAGATCTGTCCCATATCTCCATCCACACTGATATCACTCTCATGCTCACAATCACTCAAGGCACCTGCTGATCCCTCTCTCTGCAATGTTTTACCCCAGACATCCACCTTGCTTACTTCCTCTCAAATGTCACCTTATCAGAGAGGCCCTCCTCACATCCCATTGTAGAAAGCATTCCCACCCTCACTCCCCATGCCCCTTACCCTGTATAATCTTCCTCCATAGCACTTAGCTTCACCTGACACATTATATACTTGTTCATTTGTTGATTGCCTCTGTCCCTCCCCACCAGCTTCACAATGGCAGGCATTGTATTTTGTTTGCTGCTGTATCCTCTGTGCCTATAACAGGGCCTGGAATGTAGCAAACATCAAAGGAATATTTGGTGAACGAATGACAGTGGTTCTGTCCCCAGGACTGATCAAATAGGCTCCTGCTATCCTCCTGCCCCACCCTCTCCTCCTCACCCCACTTGCAGTCTAGCCTGCATTCACTGAGGGACTAACTTTCCTAAAGCACAGCTCTAAGCCTGACTTGCCCCTGTGCAAAAAGCTTCAGCAGATGCCTGTTAGCCACAAAACGAAGACCAAAGGCATTAAAGACTTTGGTACATTTGGTCTCAGTCTGTCTTTCTAACCTGTTTTCCCTTTCATAATGCCAAGTTCTAAATAATTGTGTCCACTTACTCCTCTGTCCCTACAACTCCTCCTCCCCCAAGGCTTAAATTTGTCTGGTCCTCCTAGGCCCAGCATGAATACCAGGTCCTATCCTGACCCTCCAGGAAGAACACTCTCCCTGCCCAAACATGCTCAACTACTAGAGTATACTTATCTGTATTTTGGGTATCTAAAATACTTATCTGTATTTTAAAGTATACTTATCTATACTTACCTGTATTTTGCCCACAGGGGTAGAATGGTCCTAGAGCCTATACCCAGTGGCTCTTAAATTTGCCTCAGTATCAAATCCCCAGGGATACAATCTAAAGATGCTGATGCCCAGACCCCACACCTAGAGAATCTAGTTTAATTAGTCTGGAGTGGAGACTAGGCATGGGGCTATTTAAGTGCTGCCCAGGTGGTTCTAAGGTGCTGTGGACTGAACCCGGTGTTGAGCAAAGGTCAAGGAAAAGAGCAAGTGCTGGTGTTATGTTAAAATTCTTCACCAGGTAGCTCTGCCCAGTAAGAGGAAGTCTGGGTTGTCCACACACTGTATATTCCAAAGAAAGGTCTGAACCCTGACCTGCTCCTAGGAGATAATCTCTAAGCCCTTGGAATATCCTGTGTGATACGAATGTCTTTCTTCACCTGCGGGTCTTGAGTTATTCCAGTTAGTCTATAACAACGTGATTTATTATGGGGGCCTTGGGCCAGGTGGCATCGGCTTGACCTCTGGAGCAGCTGGAGATTGAGTGACTAAGGTCAGCCATGCCTAGACCAACTCCCAATAAAAACCCTAGACACCAAAGCTTGGGTGAGCTTCCCTGGTTGGCAATACTTGGTGCATGTTGCTATGCATCATTGCTGGAAGAAGCAAGCTGTCCACATGACTGCACTGGAAGAGAAGAAAACTGGAAGCTTGTGACTGATGTCTCCTGGACCTCCTTTGCTGATTTTGGTCTGTATTCTTTCACTGTGATAAACTGTAACTGTGAATATGATGGCCTTTCTGAGTTCTGTGAGTTCTTCTAGAAAAATCTTTGAAACTTAGGGTGGTCTTGGGAACCCTCAAGCTGTAGGAACTCCTGGACACTCCTGATGAATGTGTGAAAGCCCACAGCCACCACAGGATGTCCAAAAAGGCAGACTACCCAAGAATATAAAATAACTTAACAATTGAACTCAACGTTTTAAATTTAGGCAGGAGTCAGCAAACTTTTTCTCTAAAGAGCCAGGCAGTAAATATTTTATTTTTTTATTTTATTTTTATTTTTTTTAAAAGATGACCAGTAAGAGGATCTTAACCCTTGACTTGGTGTTGTCAGCACCGGGCCAGGCAGTAAATATTTTATTTTTTTATTTTATTATTATTTTTTTTAAAAGATGACCAGTAAGGGGATCTTAACCCTTGACTTGGTGTTGTCAGCACCACGCTCACCCAGTGAGCAAACCGGCCATCCCTATATGGGATCCGAATCCGTGGCCTTGGTGTTATCAGCACCGCACTCTCCCGAGTGAGCCACGGGCCGGCCCAGCAGTAAATATTTTAGGTGTTGTGGGTGATATAGTTTCTGTCACAACTACTGTAGTCTGCCACCGTAGCAGAAAGTAGTCAGAGACAATACATAAGTGCATGGGAGTGGCTGTGTTCCAGTAAAACTTTATTATGAAAACAGTGAGCTGGATTTGGACTATGGACCCTTAGTTTTCCAACCTGATTTAGAGTAATT